AAATAAATAAATAAATAAATAAATAAAATCAATCTTTAAAATCAGTTTGTTGATACCCACAAAATAACTCGCTGGGATTTTTATTAGGATCTATAAATCAGTTTGGAAAGAATGGGTATCTTGACAATATTGAGAACCACTGTGTGTTCAGCCCTAACCTCAGCCCTGGGAGGTAGGAAAGTGGAATACACAAAAGCACAGGAGAGGCTCCCCCATGGTGCTGGCAAGGAAACTCACACAGTGCCAGGCATAAGGTAGGGCTCAATAAATGGTCACTGGGGCAATGAGAGATGCCAAATTCCAAAGCACCTGGGCCTTATGGTACCCATTCCATGCTCAAATGGATAGCACAGACTCCCATCCCTTAGAGGGAAGGCCTGGCCTCAGGGAAAACCTTGTGAGAAGGGAACAGACCAGGTGGGCTGGTTTTAGCAAGTCTCTCTGGCTGAACAGGTAGCTGTACTGATAGATGAATTCCCTGATTTATTTATTCATTGGTTCATTGAACAAATATTTATTGAGTATCTATTATGTACCAGGAACTCAGAGATCTACCCCTCTAACATGTCCAGCCACCTTCTGCAGTTCAGGCAGGAGAACAACCCTACAGAGACTTTCTGGTGGCCTGACAACTATGGACTGAGCCTTGGGGGATAGCAGGGGATCCCTATCTCCCAGCCTAAGGAAGGTTGTGGGTTTTTCTTATTTTAAAGTTAGCTACTTGACAGGGAGGAAAGTATCATGGTATGGATGAGGGTGGTCTCAAGTTTCAGGGAGTCTGGGTTGGCCTAGATGAGCCCCATTCTTGCCTGCCTGGTGGGGACTCTCCCTGTGACTGGTTCTGGGCTCAGCATCCAGATGCTCAGGGAAGGAATTTATTATTCTCGGTCAAATATTTTATTATTTATATTTGTGGAGACTCTTCAGGACTTGAACTCATCTGAGAGCTGTTGGAGAATGAGAAAGAAGGGAAAGGCAGAGGGGGACCAGCAGGAGGAGACAGGCAAGGAACAAAAAGAGAAGAGAGACTGCCAGGAGAGAAAATGACAAGAAGCAGAGAAGCACAGTGAGAAGGGGAGAAAGACAAAGGGAGGGAGGAAAAGAGGAAGAGAGAGAAGAGAAAGGAGGCAGCCTTAAAGGAGAGAAAACAAGACAGAGGGAAGAGAAAAGTAGGGGCTGGAGCTGCTGTTGGAGAAGCCCCAGCTCTGCCCTACCTCCCTGCTTGGGCTCGTCCCTCTCCTGCGTGCTGGTGTGAGCACTCACAACATCTACATCCACACACACGTGCACACACATGCAAACATGTATGCACTAACACCCATCCCCTTGGGCACCGCCTCCAGATTCTATACTATGGGGAGGCGGGGTTGCCACGGTGACAGGTACCAGAACCCCACCTCATGGGTATTAATAGCTTCCACTGAAGTCACTGAAATGGAGATTTCATCAAGCCTTATCTCCCTGGCAGGTTCCTTCTCCCTCCTCCCTTCTAGAATGGGGCTAGAAAGGACCCTTGGGGCCACACAGGCCATTTCCCTGCCTCCTGGTAGCTGCCTTGGTAAAGAATGGACTGGAAGCCTCAGGGATTCTGCCCCAGTGTCCCGTGGGAAGGAGACTGCTAGAGTTATTTGATCCTTTGAGCTGAGTCTAAACATAGGCCCTCCCAGGAAAGGGTTTCTGAGACACAGGACCCACCCCTCAGAGGGGTCACTCTCAGCTTCTCTAGGTCCCATGTGGTTATTCCTGTCTCCTCGAGGTCCCTCCCTGGCCAGACACTTGCACCCAGTTGACACTTGATGGTGGTATACCTTCCCGCAGTACAGAGCTCCCTGGAAGGGCTAGGTCCAGGCTTGGGAGGTGGCTCAGGGTGCAAAATTTCAGAGGCACTTGCTCTCAGGCTCGAGAAGTACCGGGTTGGCCCTGTACGGCCCCAAGAGCCAGTGCCCCTCGCATTTTATACCAGGGATGCTTACCTCGCCTTGTCCACTCCTGGCTCTGCTGAGATTCCTATTACCTCCTCAACCGTCTTGGGACAAAGGAGGTTTCTTTCCTGCCCTCAGTTCCCTGCCTTGGTCTTTGATTCCTTTCACCTTCCCATGAGACTTCCTGGGATCAGGCTGCAGAGCCTACTGCTGCCTCTGGACTCCCCTGATGGGCACTGGTCTCTGGCCCTCACTTCCTCCTCCCTTTCACTTTCTCTCTCTCTCCCCTGCTTTGCCCACAGTCCCAGCTTTAGACTAAACGGGGCCTGGGACATCCCTGCTGTCCTCTACTTTTGGGGCCTTCATCCCTCCACTCCCATCCCCTGGCCCATGCATTAGCTTCTCCTCCCTGGGGAGGGGGGTAAGTGGAACTCTAGGGCAGGCCTGAGCCTCCTCCCATCCACCCTGCAAATCCTACAAATCCTGCACTTCATTTACACTCCAGGGGAATTAGTCTGGTCTATACAGAGCCTTCAGATTTATTCTGAGGCCAACAGCAGCTCACAGTGACCTCATTGCAGAAGACTTTAGGGGGTATATGAGTGTGTGTGAGAGTATGTGTATGCTTGTGTGGAAATGAGTGTGCAAGAGAGTGCAGAGGTGTGTGTGCAAATGTGTGAGTGTGCTGCCATTCAGAGTCCATGGATTCCTGATGCATGAGTCATTGGTTGGGAGTGAGCCTCGAGAAGATATGCTCATAAATAAGACAGCACCCTGACCTCCGTGTCCATTCTGCAGCTGGCTAGGCACGTGATACTGGGCATCTAAGAGGCTGGAGGCAAGGGTGGGGGCTGTCTTTTCCTCCAGACCCCATAGAGCAGCTGTCATAGATATTTCTAGCTTGCCTGGAGTCCCAGACATTTATGGATATGATGCCTGCAAAGGGTGGGGGTCAGGGGAGGGACATAAAGAGCTTCACTCCCAGGGATTTTTAGTGGAGTTCTGCTGGCAGGCAGGCAGTCAGTCACCCATCCCACAAGTATTTTTTGATAGTGTGTCATGTGCTAGGCACTCTCCTAGGGGTTGGGGACATCACAGTGAATAGAGTTGACCTGCCCTCTCTCTCCTTACAGACCTTATGTTTTATTATTTATTTTTATTTTTATTTTTTTTAAAATTTTTATTTATTCATGATAGTCACACACACACAGAGAGAGAGAGAGGCAGAGACACAGGCAGAGGGAGAAGCAGGCTCCATGCACCAGGAGCCCGATGTGGGATTCGATCCCGGGTCCCCAGGATTGCGCCCTGGGCCAAAGGCAGGCGCCAAACCGCTGTGCCACCCAGGGATCCCACAGACCTTATGTTTTAGTGTGTGTGTGTGGGCTAATATAAGGGGGAAAGGTACTTTCAAACTAATCCCACTCCCCCCCCAAAAAAAAACCCCAATAATGGTGTTGAAAGTGGTGGAAAGTGGGGGTTCTTTAGTTGGGGTGGACAGGGAAGGTCAGGAGGTGACACATGAACTGTTCCTGAATAATGAGGAGCCGTCATATGGAGACCTGAGGGAAGAAACTTCCATAAGAGGATGGATGAGATGCTTGTTGTCAGCTCACGCCCTCGCTGGATTCTGGATCAAAGTTGCGGAAGCCAGTCAGAGAACCAGAGGTGACCTAGAGGAGCAGGAAGGAGATTCTCTGTCTGCGGGGGACCACGGCTCATCTTCTGCCCCAACAGACAGGGAGAAGGAGCTACCGTGTATCCAGATAGAAGGAGAACGGCTCCTTTACGCCTTCCTGCAGGCTTTCTGGTAGCAGTGCTGAACAGGAAGATAAAAGAGTCATGTGAATAGGCAACTTACTGACGCCCTTACTCCAGGAAGCCTTCTTTTACTGCGAAGGGCCACAGAGGCTCGGATTCCCCCACCTTTTACAGCTGACAGGACCACTCGGTTCAGAGTCGGTGGTTCTCTGACGGTTTGTCCCTGAGATCTGCTCCTCCAGTTTGGCCAGCAACCCAGTCTCCGAGGTCCGCTCTGTACTCACCAAAGGCCCCCAGTGCCAGGTGTGCAGGAACCAGGTGGCCCGGGCTTCTTGTCCCGAGCCCTTGCCCTAGGGCACCTTCAGATGTGACTGAGGGCCGAGGGTCAAGAAGCGCTGGGTGTGAAATCTCACCTCCCTGATAGAATCATTCATTTACCCCCGCCCTCCCCCCCCCCCCCAGTTTTTTTTCTTGAGCTTTCGCTGTGTGCCTGGCCCCAGGGAGGCTGTCCTCGCTCGCCCTGCGCCTGGCACCCGGGGAGCTCACCGTTCTCGCTGTACCGTTTCTCCGTTTTCGACACCAAGTTCCACCGTGCGCGAGGGGAAGGCGCTCAACTCCCGGAGCCCGTATTCCCGGCACCTTCCCCGACCTGGGCCGGGCCCCCGGCGCCGCCCGCCGAGCACTTGTGGCCGCGGGAGCGCGGCGCGCCCCGGGGCCACATCTGGCTGAGCGGGCGCGCGCGTGTCACTAAGACGCTCATTCACCGGCGCGGCTGTCCCCATAGCAACCGGAGCGGGGGAATCCTGGCGACGGCGGCGGCGGCGGCGGCGGCGGGGGCGGGGGCGGGGGCGGGGCGCCCTGCACGCCCCGCGCTCCCCCGAGCCCCGCTGCGTGCGGACCCGCCGGCCCGCTGCCGCCACGCACGTCGCCGCAGCGGCCGTCCCCGCGGGCGGGGAGCGAGCGGGCCGCCGAGCCGCCGAGCGCCCGCGCCGGGAGCCCTGACTCTATGGCCCCAGGGGAGCGCGCCGGAGCCTCCGCGCCGCCCAGCAGCAGCGGGAACCCGAGCCCCGGCCCGAGGAACCGGGGAGCCCCGGGCGCCGCCGGCCCCGGCCCAGGGGCCAGCGGGCAGCCCCCGCGCCCGCGCCCGCGCCCGCCGCGGGGAACGGCAGGCAGGTAGCCGGCGAGCGCGAGGACCCCCGCGGCGGGCAGGCCCGGCCCAGGACGGCGCGGCCCCGAGAGAGGGAGGAGAGCGGCGCCCGCCCGCCCCCGGCCGCAGCCCCGGCAGGGCCCTCCCCCGGCGGCGCGCGCCCGCGCGCACACACCCGCGCGCCGAGTCTCCGCTCCTGCCCAGCCTCGCCTGCCCCCCGCGAGTGCCGAAGCCCTCGGGGCCGGATGCCATGGGTAACAACTTCTCCAGTATCCCCTCTCTGCCCCGAGGAAACCCGAGCCGGGCGCCACGGGGCCACCCCCAAACCCTCAAAGGTAAGGCAGGCTCCGCCGGGCCGGGCGCCGCGGGAGGACTGGGGCGCAGGTGCAGGGGCAGGGAGAGGTGCAGAGGTGTAGTTGGGGAGGACAGGCGGGGGCCACCTGTTGTGCGTATTTGGGGACTCGAGGTGCGCATCTGGCCCTGGAGGTGGGCTGGGGGTGGGGGGCTGCTGGTGGGGGTGTGGAAAACCGGGAGGATGGCGTTGCGTGGGGTCTGCGCAGGTTTCCTTGCCAGCACTAGGAACGTCACTGGAGTTAACTCAGGCCGTGATGCTAGGCTAGCGCGCAGGGGTTGGGAAGGGCATTTGCCCAGTGGGTAGGCGAGTGTGGCAGGTTGCTCAGGACGGCCAGCTGTGCTTCTCGAGGGACGCATCACAGTCCCGATTTTTCATCTGCCCCGCGGCTGGCTGGAAAGGTCAGGCTGGAGGCACTAGTTGCATTTCCAATTGGAGGGTCTTAAAGATCTAGGACTGACTTACAGCAGCCTGGAAGAAGAGGCCAAGGCTGATGGACTCTGGAGTCCTCTGCAGCTGTTGACTTTTTGCACCCACTGACTCAGCTTGGTTTCGGGTTCCTCCAAAGGCCAGATGTCCAGTCGGAACCTTAGAAAGGAAAGGGTGGGAGTCTTGAAACAGAGAAACATTTATTAGGAATGTCTTTGCTGTCCAAATCCCCAGACCCACCCAGCCCCCCCAGGGAGGCCCAAGGCCCAGTCCTCAGCCCTGCGGCTTCCAGCGCTGTCTCTGACCTTTGCAAGACACGACTGGGTCCTCCCAGGTCCTCAGACCCCACAGATTCCCTGCGGGAAGCTGCTTTTCTATCGGCCTCAGAACCAGCTAGCACTAGTCCTGGGCATTCGAATGGCTAAGAGCCAGAAAGGGAAGCCCTCCGTCTTCCACAAAGAACCACCCACTTCTTTAGCCCCTTGGGTTGTGAGAAGGATAATAGTAATACCCCTTGGCAAAGCGTCGTTTGCCCCAACTGTCATGAACACCTGTTCATGTGAGCTAGGAAACTACTCTGGGTAGTCAAAGCTAATCATACCCATTTTACAGTTGAGGAGGACCGATGCTTGTTTTAGGTTCCCGAAGCCAGTGAGAAGCAGAGCTCGGCTGCAGAGCTACATCCTCTGACTTGGAGTTTGTCATCAATCTTGCTGGACAGCTAACCTTCCAGATTGGGGGACAGGACAAGACGCGGGACCATTGTTCTGTGTACTAACTCCAAACCTTCCAGAACTTCCGCTCTCCCTTGGTTTGGGAAAGTCAGTGGGTTTGTTGTCTTTCTGGAAATTACTATGGTGGAACATGTCAGTCCTTTTAACGTAACATATTCATCAGCCTTGTGATTCTCCCTGCAGGCACTGATCCTAGCAAAATGGAGATCCAGGCAAATACTTATGCATCAGGTTAGGATGTTCACGGCAGTGTTATTTATACTAGGAAAACAACCTAAATGCCCTGTAATCATGGCATATTTTCTTGGTGGAGTATTATACAATCTTTAAAATTGTATTTTTGTCTTTTTTCTTTTTAAAAAGATTTTTCTTATTTATTCATGGAAGACAGACAGAGGGAGAGAGAGAGAAGCAAACAGAGAGACACGGGTAGAGGGAGAAGCAGGCTCCCTGCAAGGAGCCTGATGTGGGACTCGTGGGTCTCCAGGATCACACCCTGAGCTGAAGGCAGCGCTAAACCGCTGAGCCACCCAGGCTGCCCTAAAATTGTATTTTTGAAGAATATTTGATGACTTGGGAATACGCTCACTGCAGCATAATGACATTTGAAAAAAGTAGAGTACAAAGTTATATAGACTGTGAGATCTCAGTTTTGTTTAAAAAAATATGAATGTAAAAAAAAAAAAAATCCAAGCCCTGGAAAGAAAGTTTCCAAAGGGTAACAGTGGTTTTCCTCGGAGCCATGGGTAACGGGTATCATGTAAGATTTTCTTTTCTTTTTTATACTTTTTTCAAGAATTTCTACAATAACCAAGTATTATTTTTTATCATCCCAAATAAACTGTAAGTCTTAGTGTGTATAAAGACTATTTCTGAGCATTGGGAACAGATTCCTAATGATGGAGGAACCTGTGGACATTCTGTCCTTTAATGTCCTTCCTCACAAGTGAGAAGAATGAAAGGAAGGGAGAGTGATTTGCCCAGTTAGTGCATCAGATGGCAGAGTTGGGTTGAATCCTTCAAGGGTAGGGTAGCTGGACCAGTGGGTTGACTTGAAATTTAATTGTTCACATACTGCCCAGTGAAGGCCAGCTTGCTCCGTCCTTGACCCTAGGGAAGCCCAGAGAAGGCTTTGGTAATTTCACCCTTTTTTAATCTAAAGTGTGGGATTATGGGATGTGAGGTCTCCATGGCTGGAGTCTTTGTCAAGGGAGGGAAGGGGCAGGAGAGGGTCTGGGATCCACCTACCTACCTGTTCTCACCCCAACTTCCTCCCCCGTCTCACTCCCCAGCTATGTCACCTGGGAAGCCACCCTGTGCTGCCTCTCTGGTTTACAGGAATCAGTTCTTCTATGGGACTCAGTGGTGGTGAAACTCCCCACCCCCCTACGTCTCTCCCCCTCTACCCATCTCCCTTCAGGCTTGATTTACCAGAATCCACTCTCTTCTCCCTTCCCACACACCTGCTGGAAGTGGCCATGAGAATTTTGATTCTGCTACTTCCAAGCCTGAGATGAAAGATTAGAGCATGCCCATGATGGCCACCTATGGGTACCCTCTGTCCTTTGTCCGTGGTCCACTGATCCTGACTTTTCCCCACCCTAAAAAAGCCATCAGATTTATTCTGTGATTGTTTTAGTGTCCATTCCAAACTGTATCGGCATTGACCTAGTAGTCTTCTCTGATATATGAGTGGTCATCCAGAATTCTGTTTCAGTTGTATTGGTGTTGACCTCAATACTGATTCTAAGCCTGTCCATCCAGACTTGTGTTCAGATTGCTTCTGTACTCACCCTGAACCCTGTCTAATTCATATCAGTGCCTATCTGGAAATTTCCTGGGGGTGGGGAACTCTCGATTTTTTCTCTCCTTCTATAATTGCAACCTCTATTGACTTCTCACCATTTTAATTAAAACAACTGGAAGAGGTCTGGCATAATAGGGACCATGGGACACATTGGAGATCTAAGATTGGTCTGGCTATCAGGCTGACATGAAATGAGGCTCATCCATCACCTGTCAGTTCGTAGACTTTGGTGTTCTCCCTGGAGACACACTGACTTCACTTCACTGCTGGCGATTCCCCCTGAGGTCTGAACAGTGTTGGTCTAGGAGTATCCAGGGGAGGATCCAAGGCATAGCTCTGGGCTTAGGACCAACAGACAGTTACGAGGAGTTGCTATGTGCTTGGCCTAGAGGTGAAGGCTGCTGACATCTCTGTATATTCAAAGGCTGAAGATCTCTTTGAAAAGGCGAGGCAGATTTGAGCTGGACATGGATGGAACTGCAGAAATTGGGTATATGGCAAGGGGTGGGTGAAGCAGGAGTGCTAGGGTCTGGGGAAGAAGGTAGGGGAAGGGACATACAGCAAAGCCCTGTATGGGAAGCAATGACTGCGTATATATTCTCAGTGATGGGTACAGGATAACTGGGGCAAGGGGCTTATGCTTCGTGGAGTCAAAGGCAGAGAATAAAGATTTTCCTCCTTTTCAAGCTCTTTCTGAGTGCCTGCCTGCTTGAGGCTAAGTGTTGAGGGTAAGGTAACTAGGAAAACCTTTGGACGGGGCTATCCAGCCCCAGTGGTCACCCATGGGGATTGGATGGGCCCCCTCCCATCTATTTAAAATTGCGGTGAAATTTACATGAAACCCACCATTTTAACATTTTATTTCCTTATTTATTATTTTGTTTATTTCAGAGAGAGAGGGAGAGGGAGGGGGAAGAGGCAGAGAGGAGAGAGACTCTTCAAGCAGACTCCCCTCTGAGAATGGAGCCTGACACAGAACTCAATCCATGACCCATTGAGATCATGACCTTAGCCAAAGCCAAGAGTCAGACACTTAACCGACTGAGCCACTCAGGTGCCCCCATTTTAACATGTTAAAGTGTACAATTCAATGACATTTAGTACATTCACAATGTTGTGCAGCCATCACCCCTATCTAGTTCCAGAACATTTTCATCACCTCAAAAGGAAAGTCTGTACCCAGTAAGCCGTCACTCCCCATTACTCCCTCCCCTGAATCCTTGATTAAGAATGCTGCTCAGAAACACTAACCTGGGAAGTGGTGGACTGGGATTTCTACCCAGAATGCCAAAACCCATGAGAAAATCGGTCTTGGGGGAATTTTTGCATATTGGGGCTTTCTCTTCCCTGACCTGCTGGGATGGCTTGTACTTACTTCCAAGAAATGTACATTGAGGGTCAGGCATTGGCTCTAAATCACAGTGGCCAAGATGGAGGCAAGAACAAGATGGAGGAAAGGGAGGATGCAAGGGGGCAGGAGCTGGGCACTGCCTGGGGGATGCCAGGGATGCTCTGTCTTGGTGTGCCAGATGCCTGGGCCTATTTGCTGTTGGTCTGTGACTCTCCCAAGGGCTAGAGGCTTAGGGGCTGCTTCTCACTGAACTGGTTGCTTTGGCAACCCTGGGCAGGATGCAAGTGGTCTCCTTGGTAACGCCTGGGAAACCTGCCTATGGGGATGGAGGGAAGTGGACTGGCCAGTGGTCAGGCAGGGTGGCACAGGCAGAGCTGGGCTACGCTACCCAGATCAAAGGCCTTTGAGGAGGGTCAAGCTTATAGAATAGGCTGCGCTGCCTGTTGGCCATTCTCCAGCAAGCCAGAGTCCAGAGGCCCAGGGGAACTGGGGGCCTGCCTGGCGACACCAAAGGCACTAATGGGCCAGGCCAGGAAGTGGGAGGAGATGGGGGTGAGAGTGGGAAGCGAGGAGAATATAGCTTCTGGATGACAGATCCAGCCACAGGGTTTATTAAAAGATGCTTATCAGAGGTCATTACCCAGATCCTGCTGCTTTGGGAA